CATTCAAAGTATCATTTTTTTTCTTTTAAATAGATGCCTACTGGTGAACTCATGCAGCCAAGATCCTGTTTTCTTTTGCTTACAATGAACTGATTTAGAAAGATGACCGTGATCTTCATTGTGCATTGTCTCCCTCCAATTTTCGAAGTCCTTTAACCATCTTCAGGAATAGTTTCCAAGAGCATCTGTGAGGCTAGAAGTTTTCGGCACCAATGTTGACTGAACTTGTACTGAATAAACCCTATCTCATGTGTGTGAATTAGGGCAGTAAGACTCTCAGCTTGACTACTGTGATATATGACAGCGGTATTTATTCCATCTTCTCTTCCCAACACAGTTACTGAAGCAGGTACTGCTGATTACCGTAGTAGGATATTAAATGTCTTCCAGAATATAGCAATGTGTTTTTTTTTCTTGTTATTCTCCTCTACAGGTGAAGCAGGTACTGCCGATTACAGTAGTAGGATATTAAATATCTTCCAGAATATAGCAATGTGGTTTTTTTTCTTGTTATTCTCCTCTACAGGCAAGTGCTGTACATTTAATTGAGCAGTCTTTTTGCTAGGTAAGGATGTGTCAATTATAGTTGTGCAAACACTCCAATGTCACTTTCAAATGGCCATGTACAAGATTTTGTTTGAGTAAAATCACATGAACTTGGTCAGACCAATGTTGCCTCGAGTCCAGTATTTTGTGTCCTATAGAGCTTCAGGCATTATGTAAAGAATAGAAAAAATTAAAGAGTTCCACCCACTTTCATTCTGGCAGTCAGATGTTTAGTGTCTCAGCGCACATGGGGTTGCACCCTGACTGTCTGAGCTAATAGCTATTATGATTGAAAAAAAGAAATAGGTACAGAAAGGCCCCAGTTTAATTTTGGTCACCATTAAATCCAAAAGCAAGAAGGTCCACATGTTAATCATGTGTTGTGTGAAAAAGTAATTACTTTGGCTTATATTAAACCTCCTGACCATTAATGTTGTCTGGCGACTCATGGTTTTTGAATTGCAGCAATGGATAAACAACACTTGTCATTTGTTTTTTCTATAATATGCCCCCTGAGTTTCCTCACCTCTGAGGCAAATAACCCTAATTTTTTTTAATCTCTTCTCACATGGAAGACATTCCACACCCTTGATCACCTTTGTTACCCTTTTCTAAATCATTTCCAGTATCAGAATATTCTTCTGGAGACAGGGCAATGAAAACTGGACACAATATACAAGGTGTGGATACATCACAGATTCATATTGTAGCATTATTATATTTTCTGTCTTCTTTCCTAACATTGTTAGCTTCTTTGACCACTGTTACACATGGAGCTGAAGTTCTCAAAGCCTTTTTCACAGTGAAGCAAGGATCTTTTTCTCGAGTAGCAATACCTAATTTAGAACTCATCAATATGCATGAGTAAGTGGGATTATTTTTTCCAGTGAGTATTTACTATGCACTTATCAATGTTGAATTTAATTTGCCAATGTTTAGCCAGATAATCAGTTGTAATGATTGTTCACCATTTGGCCCATTCTGTGAAGTCTTGACGGCATGGGAGTCCAACATTTGAACAGACCTGATGAACCTCCGGGCCACCGCCATTCCTTGGTGGGTGGAATTTTATCCTGGATGTTACAAGCCACCCCCAGAACAGTGTTCGCTGGAACGTCTTATGGCAGCTTTGCAACATGTCTGAAGAGTAAGGACAATGACCCCAGTAATCTGTAGACCCAAAAAACCATAAACATCTGCATTACAGATCAAGTCATTAGACTATATGCCCAATATACTGATATTTTATATGGAAAGCCTCCAGCGTTGCCCAGTCTGTGCGGCATAGTGTCCAGTTTTTGCAATTGTACAACAGTATGGAAGGATACAGCTCAAATAAATCCTGAACTTGGTTGTCATTGTAAGATAATATTGATTCCATATCCATTGTAAAGAGCTCATGGCAGAGGCTGTGATGTCAATTTGATGGAGAATTGCCATGTGAGAATCGAAGGAGCTGGTAAATATAAAGCCAGATAGCAGAAACTTGAAACTGACCCATGGTTCTATTGTTCAAAAAGATTGGATTGCAGATGAACCTGGTCCTAGATTTTGCAGTTTTGACTTTGACCGTCTAACACGGAGACCAATCTTTGCTGACTTTTCCATGTGCTGAATACATCACAAAACCTGTCGGGGTTCTGTACTAAAGAATATCATCATTGGCGTAGTCAAACTCTGAGTGTGACACCAACCTCAGTGACTGTGGAAATGACAAATATTTCATTGTGAAATCCATTGCCTTACATGAGAGTGCAGGGGTCAGATGCTGAAATCTGATTCCCCAGACAAACATGGTAGTGGCTCCATTATGCATCTCACTAATCAAGTCCAGCAAAGTGGTAGGGAACCTACACCCCTCAAGGCTTTTCATAATGCAACAGAGTCTACTGAATCAAATCCAGCCTTAAGATCAACATAGGCTACATGTTCCTAGAACTCTGACTGATGGGGATGGCTCTTCCAGTGTAGAAAAGGCTCTAAAAGTGCCAACAAAAACATGCACAATCACTTTCCTAAGAAAGGAGAACAGGGTGGTTGGCCTGTTGCTCTGACATTCACAGTACGATACCTTGTCCTTATTGAGTGAAATCACAATATCATCCTTTCAGGTGGCTGGTAGGGTTTGAGTTCTTCACACCAGACCAAAGATGTCCAGAAGTGATTCTGCTACAGGATCAATAGCACATTTTAGCAGCTCTGACAGGATACTATCAGCACCAGCTAAATATCTGTTTTTCACTATAGAGATAGCCATGCTTCATTTCATCCAAGGCTGATGCATTGGTACAAATATCTGGGTTTGGAACCATAGTGACTGCCAGATCATCCAGCTCTGAACAAAAAACAGTTTAAAGATGGGTCAGGACACTGTGGTAATATTCCACCCACTATGAGAAAACGTCACTGTGACGTAGTGGGGGTACTTGCTGGGCTGTGGTGACCTCTGCTGTCTGGAGCAAGACCCAGCAGGGAAAACCTCACTATGCAAAGGTGATGCCAAACTGGTTGAACCAGATACCCCCCCGTGGAGAGGAACAAAGGAAGGTGGAGGCTGCCCTGTCTGGGGGGCAGGGCTGGAAGAGAGTGAGTTGAGTTGCGGGCTGGGAGCATGGAGGAGACAGCCTAGGGAAAGGGGCTGGAGTTTAGGGGCCCAGTCTCCCCCATCTCAAGGGGGCCTGAGGCATCCTAGCCCAGCTCTGTGACCAGATTCCATCTGTGCTGTGCTGTATCCTGGAGAGGCAATAAACTTCCTCTATTCCACCGGCTGGGGCAGTCTGTTTGTGCCATTTCGGGGTGCAGGAGACGGGGGACCCCCAACGCGCCGTCACAGTCACCAACCAGTTTACACAGATGGCTACAACTTTCGTTCAAGATGCCTATCACTGCATTGTTGGGCTGTGGCCTTCAATTTAATTATCTGTAAAGTCTCCTCTGATAGCATGTTCAACATGCTGGATGTCGATACCCAATCATCTGCTCAGACTGGTAGAGAGTAGAAGTAAAAAGGGACCAGGCAACCTCCAACATCATCTGGCAGATTAGCTAGACCAGAGACTCTATTGCTGATGTCAATTCTAAACCTGCACATGGAACTTGTCGTCAAAATTCTTCATCACTACAGAAGACTCATCTGCTTGTTGGAGCATCAATAACATATTGGCAATCACTAGATGGTATTCTGTGTTCTCTATGCATTCCACACCACAATTTACTCTACAGGGGCAAAGAGATGCCTATCATATATAATAATCTAATTCAACGTCTTCTAAGTGATATCATCGTGAGAAATCCATGACATCCGGTATATTTGTTGTCGCTTGAACCATGACCCAATAATGGAAATATTATAGGAGAATGGAATGGAAGCAAATGGTGAGAATTATCATTGATTATTCCTGAATGACAATGACTTGTTCAAATCTGGTTCACAGGGAGCCTGTAACTGCACTTAGGTCACCAAGGATCATGAGACTAACACATCAAGGGACGATATATGCTAGATGTTCCAAATGATTCATTGCTTTGGACTATAAAAAAAGATCGTTATTTCCTGCACACTTTCCCATTTCACCAGCTACTTTTCCAGGTAATTAAGGAATATGTTGAACAGCACATATCCCAGTACAGGATTCCTATATTCACTTCTTGCCATTGAGGCAGCTGACCATGTATTCCTATCCTTTGATTTCTGTCTTTAAACAAAGATAGTGAAGCACAAGACGACCTTCCCACTTGTCCCATGACTATTTTCTTTGCTTCAAAACCTTCGATGAGGGTGTCATGGCTCAGTTCCCCAACTGGCACTTTGTGTGCAGATATGGGGGCCGCTAGCAGAATAAATTCTATAAAAACTATCTCTAACTCCTAGAGACAAACTTGTCTGGTCTCATTTTCCCTGAGATCCAAAAAGAAAAAGACTGATTGTTGCCACCACCAAGTGTGTCTCAATATATATAACCTTTTCCAGAGAAGAAACCATTTGGAATCCCTTCCTTGAGGCAAAGCTCTCCCCTCTGCCCCAACCACCATTTTGCTTGGACCTGGAAAAACAAACAGAGATAATCCACAGAGAATAATGGGGCTCTGCTTCTCTCAGTGAATGTGGTTTCATTTAGGCATGTAGGTTTAAGGACAGAAAAATCAACCAATTAACATGGTTTCATTTAGGCATATAGGTTTAAGGACAGAAAAATCAACCAATACCAGTTAACCCAAATATAAAGAAAACACTTTTATTATTAAAACAAGACTACTGTTTATAAACAGCATGTTATTTACAAGCATAGTAAATGACCCGTGTTAAAAGCCCTGGCTTGAAATAGACTCAAGGATTCTCCCTGGGCTGTAATCCTTAGTTACAAAAGAGAAAAACAATTAACCAGCTCAGACATGATTTCCAACCCCCCAAACAAGGAAAACAATAAAACGAGACTAAACTTTTCCCTACTTACACATGTTAATGAATTCAAGGAGTCTGTTCCTGGGAGAGTCTGTCTCTCCTGCTCTGTATCTGGGAAAAGCTGCTCTGATTCCCCAAAAAGGGAAAAAAAACCCTCTCTCGGTTGAAATTCCTTATCTGTATTTCATTGGCTAAAATGCGTAAAGCCCCCTCCCTTAGGTGCAGAGCCTCAGTTATCTTAACCCTTTCCTCACACTCCAGGTAAGTCAAATTCTCCCTTGCAGCTTCTATTTATGACAGAGGGTATGTCTACATGGCACAGCCATTGTGGGATACCAGAGGTATCCCAAAATAGCTACCCCATGTCCACACAAGCCATTTTTCAAAATAACAGGCATGCTATTTCGCCAGCTTCGTTTCACGAGGGATAAGGGATGGCTCAAAATAGCATGTTATTTGGAAATTTGGTGCTGTGTAGATGTGCCAAATTTCAAAATAAGCTATTTTGAAATATATTTGAGATGATATGCAATTTACATAGTGCAAACTGCATATCTTATTTTGAGTTTAGGGTGCTGTGTAGACGCACCCAGAAGGACTTTGTGAAAGACTTTCTGAAAGTCCAAGCACAAGATATATATTGGATAACTCTTACCCACACACTTGTTGGCAACCTAATAGATTAGGCAGGACTTCCCTTAACAAAAGATGTGCTGATTTATCCCCAACATACCGTGTTCTTCTGTGTATGATAATTCTTTTTTTTACTATCATTTTTACCAGTTTACCCAGTGCTGAAGTTGAGTAATCTGGCCTAGCACTGTCAGGTTCACCTCTGATGCTACTTAAAAAAATAAATAAATAAAAAAATCAGCTCACCTCTGATGCTACTTAAAAAAAAAAAAATCAGTGTTTGGGATTTCACGTACAGTCACTCAAATATGAATTTAGAAGAAAAATAATTAAAAAACCCAACCCTATGTTTTCCTCTTTGCCTATTGAAGAAAGTTGAAACAATACCAGTAAACAAGCCTAGAAGAATAAAAAAAATTACTGAAGAACTGATTTCTATTGTAAACATTATACCATTTTATGAAAAGTTTAAATAGTCTTGTAAATAAAACACTCAGGTAAAATATCCTTAGTGCAGTGGTTCTCAACCAGTGTTATGGCTACCCATGGGAGTACTCAGAGGTCTTCAGATGGTTTATCAACTTATCTAGTTATTTGCCTACTTTCACAACAGGCTACATAAAAAGCACTAGCAAAGTCAATACATGCTTACATTTCATACAATGACTTCATACCGTACTATATAGTATACACTGAAATGTAATTATAACAATGTTCCAAGTGATTTTACAATTATATGATAAAAATGAAAATGTTAGCAATTTCAGTAGTAGTGTGCTGCAACACTTGCATATTTTTATAAACAGGTAGTTTTTAAGTGCAAGACTAATCAGACTCCTGAATGAGGTATAGTAGTCTAGAATGGCTGAGTCTCGCTGTTTCAGTGAATAATATTTTCCACCCATTAAAATAATTTTAGTAGATAAAATGTTTTGCTTTCAATTTCAAAAAACATTAAAAGCCTAATGAAAGTTAAATTTACCTGTGTTGATTTAACGCCATTCCTACGATCTCCACAAAAGCCATCCTAGGCCTAAAAAACATGGTTGTAAAAGTAAGGCATTAATTTTTAAAACAAAAATCAAATCAAATATAAGAAACTAGGCTGAAATTGCAATGCATAGTCTACATCAAGGAGGTGAGATTTCAAAAGTCCCCTTAAAAACAGGCTGCCTGTGAGTTGAGCATCAGTCACGGTCACTTCCAGAATGTGCCAGCAGTCGTTCCATGCACACAGATACTGCAGTGTGGTAATTTATTTTTCAGTACACCATCTTCATTTAGGTCTTTACATCATACATCCATAGCTATTACCCTTTGCTCCAGTTCACAGGAATAGCAGTTCATTGAATTGCTCTGTCTCTGGCCTCACACATAGGAAAAGCAAGAGCTTACTGAGTAACCACAGCAATGAAAGCACATGGAATAGAAGAGACACCTGTTTGTGCCAGAGAAATAGAGTTGTGATCTATCTGAATATGTGACAAACTGAGTGAATTTGGGTATTTAACTCGTCTCTCTCGTTTCTTGCCCTCCTAATGGTGTAGCATAATGGTAACAAAAACAATTGACAATCATCACATTTCTGTCTGAAGTTGTTCTATTTTAATTGCTGACCATCTTCCATGGCAAGCATTGCTGGAACGTTATGCAACTTTGCTCTGAGAGCGGGTTAGAGAACCTGTTCCAAATTCCATGAAAATCTGAAGTATTTTAAATAGGCTTTTAATCAGGCCTACAGGGAATGTAGCCAGACTCCAATATCAGTGGAAATATACATACATATATATATGCCCCCCCAAAAACAAGTATAACTCAGCCCATTGCTCTGAGTAGCAGCTCGTCTGTGCACTGCTCTGCTGGAGGTCCCATTTGCAAGACAACTTGTCTGAACCTCCATGACCTTGGAATTATATTCAGTTGCTACACGCAGTTCCACACAGAGTAAAATATGCACAGAAGTGAACGTTCATTACTAATGCATATTTAACCATAGAAAGAAGCCCTTGTAATAAAAAACCTAGACAAAATCTCATCTTAGTAAAAAGTTTTTCAGGAACACATAAGGAAGTGAGGAAACCATGCAGAATCGTAAGTAAATCCATGGATAAGTGAATAATATCCTCGTTATATGTGAAACTTGAAAATAGGCCAAATAAGTCTCGTAATTTCACTCAATTTGACCTACAGTGTTTTAAACTGAAAAAAGAATAAATTTTAAGAAAAATATTATGATGTATTTGGTTATGTACTTAATTACTGAAGCAAATGTGAGCAAAGCTATGATTTTTTTTTTAAAGAAAATCATTAGAAAAATGTATACCCCACTGTAATGGGGCAGAGTGGTCTCCCACTGACCCAGAGTGGGAGGATCACCTCTCTGAGCCTTGGGGGATGGCACCTGGCCCCAACAACCCACCTGGCCAGGAGTCAGGACTAGGGATATAAAAGGCCTGCCTGAGGGGCCAGTCAGGCCCAAGCAGCCAGAAGTCCCCCTCCTTCCACATGCACCCAAGTGAAGTTGGGTGTGGGAGAAGTGGAGGACTGGCTGGGGCTACCGGGCCCACAACTGAACAACAGTCTGGAAGGACTGCTCACCTGGCCAGAGGTTCCAGAGCAATCAAGCCCAGAGACCTGTGCTGGGCCCAAGTACAACCCTAGGGGAAAATGGAGAAAGTTTAGTGGTAGTCGACGACCATTAGGTTGAGTCAGAAGCTGGTCAGCGTGTTGTGGTCTGGAACCCTGCTGACCCAGCAGCAGAGCTGTCTACTGCTGCTAAGGCCCTGGACTGGGACTCCGTGGAATGGGTGGACCTGCATCCCCCATGCCACGTCACTCCTGGCTGGTAGTCTTCCCGTCTCAGCTGTTCCCAAATAACTGCCTGCATCTGCCGGACTCTCGCCTGAGCAGGGAATGCAACTGGGTCTGTTTTAGATGGGACTCAAAATTGTTTGTTTGCCTGCCATTCCACCCTGAACCAGGGCCTGCGGTTTGAACTGTCTATTTGCATGCCGCCCCTCCCTGCCTAGGGACAGGCCTTAGAATTGTTTATTTGTTAGCCTGCCATCCCGCCTTGTAGCAGGACCAGGCCCTAGAACGGTTTGTTGGTTACTGTTGCCCCACTTTGAACTAGGGCCAGAGTTTAGAGACGGTTTATTACGGACCACTAGCTTGGCTGTGGGCTATCATAGGATTAGAAGCCACAGCTGATTCCCCACAAGAAGTGGGTAGTGGGACAGAGTAGTCACCCACTGACCCAGAGGGGGAGTAGCCCCTCCCTGAGCCCCTTTGGGCTACACTTTCGAAGAAACACCAAACAAAAATTGAATAGATTGAATACTAAATCCAAAAGCTTAGTCCAAATACCAATCTTTCATCACAAAATATTCTTCCCATCTGAAGACAGGTGATTTATATTTACCTTTCTCATTTTTTTCTTCCATTTTTATGCTTAGACAGCTACATTCTTCAATTAAAATATTATGAATTCAGAGAAGAATCACAAAAAAAAGTATTAAGCAGCTGCAGTGATTCACTGAAAACAAAAGATTAAAGAGCTGAATATCCATAACCTGGCTAAATGGCAAAAAAAAAATTATTAAGCAGCTGCAGTGATTCATTGAAAACAAAAGATTGAAGAGCTGAATATCCATAACCTGGCTAAATGACAACTAGTGGACACAAGTGAAAACTGAGCATGAGTATTAAAATGGTGAGCACCAAAGAGTGAGAGAATATTTGCTAAAAGGTGGCATAAAACTAGAAATGAATATTTAATCTGTTAATATTACTTGCTAAATTATACTGTGGGCTAACCACCCGTCCAAGGGAAATGATGGACCAATTGTTTGAAATATTTATTAGGCTGGAGAAAGCACTCAAGAACCAACTTTAAAGGAACAATGCAGCCCCTGCCAGGCAATAGGATAAAGGGGTGATGAATTACAGGACCATGAAGAATTAATTTCCCACACTATGGGCTTGTCAGCAAGGAAAGTTATACCACATGTAGAAGGCATAATTAAGTCAATGCAGTCCCCTAATGTAAATTCACTTAAATCAGTATACTCTCATTTACCAATGCAAGAGTTAACCATAGGTTAAACATGTTTAGGATACTTTTAAATTGGGCTTGTGTGCTGGTTTAATTAGACTGATTTAAAATCCACTGTCTCATGTAAACATGGTCTAAGGTTATATTGGTTCCCTAATGATGATAATGTGCTGGCCACAATGAATTTAAAGGGCAGTTAATGGTCAGAAAGAAGTGACCAAAGAAATGTGAACTTCTATCTCAGGCATGTTTGCTGTATTTGTTCTGATATTTATCTGCTGATTTTTATTGACAAAAAATTAAATTTTGCTACTTTTCAGGATTTCTAGCCAGTGAAGTCAAACATAAATCTGGATGCTGCAATTAGCTTCTAGATGGATTCTACTTGCCCTTGTGCAGAGTTACTAAACTGGCTTT